ATGTAAAGTGACAAATTTAACTGCATTTATATTAAGCAATTTTCTGCCCATCAGATAGATGAGAAAATTAATATGTAAGCCATTAACTTACTCCCAGATGCTCTGTGCACTACCATTGAAATAGGATATTTTAAAAATATTATCACTGATGTTTTATTGCTTTCTCAGAGGAAAATGCTTAGAAAAATTACAATCTCTGAATTTAGAAGAGGTTCATTAGAAGATTACATACTTTGAGACAAATCATCCATGAATTATGGAGAAAACCATGTTCACAATCAACTGACTTTTCTTTTTAATGTGGTTTATTTGCTCTTTGTTTCATCCGCATAATGTCAATACCACACTAATAATCTTCCATAATATATATGGATTGAGAATTCAAATGTCCTGTGAGAAAGCTGAGTTTGTGGCACATAGTAAGGCTTTACTGTATGCAACAATGATACTTATTTTGATAAAATCAACCCAAACCAGATAGAAGAATCTGTATATACCAATGTTGCTGCTTGAATGATAAACTATATGCATAGCTAGTGAATAACCGAAATCCTACCTATTAACAAATTTGAAGAATGGGAAGAAATGAGAGATGTTGATTTTTTATGTTGTTCCCACCCATTTCACAGTCACATAGGTGGGATTCCAAGTTTTTTGTTTGAATAAGGCAAATAAAGGCTTAATCTTTATTAAAGTACTTGATGATTAATGGATAGATAATATTTGTTCAGGAATGCCGAAGTAAAATCAATTGAATCCAGCAAGGTGAAGAATTTCACAAATTCTTGAACTTACAAGAATTTTACAAGAATTGAATGTACAAGTCAATAAGTTGATTAAATCCAAAGTGACAAAATAGCAAAGCAGATCAAGTCAAGCTTCTTACAGAATGAGAACATCACTCCTAGATATGCTATGGCTCTCTCTCTATCCTCTACCTTCACCTCCCCATAAATAGAAAATGGATCTAAGAAGCATTTATCTTTGTCCTATCTGTTTACTAGGCATTAATTCGCTCTGCAGTATCTGTTAAATGGCTCTTCAGTCTAGACAGTAGTAGTGTTTGAATCTGTAAGAACAAATTAATATTTAGTTGACATGGTGGGTGGAGGGTTCTCCTCCTTGCCATTGTTGTTTCTATACAAAAAGAAATGCATAAAATATTAAATAAACTTCTTTAGCAAGGACATCCTGCTATTCATTGGGTAAATCAAAAGTACAGGTAACTGTTAAGAAAAGTGGATTTAACTTCTCACACTTACAGCTTTATTATTGTGTATTTATCCTTGCTTTGAATTTTTTTTGTTTTTTGTTCTGTTTGTTTTGTTTTATTTTTTGGTGCCTTGGAACTCCTGACAACTGCCTGGACAATTCCCTGCAGTTTTCTTGGCAAGGTTTTTTGGAAGTGTTTTGCCATTGCCTGCTTCCTAGGGCAGAGAGAGGGACTGGCCCAAAGTCACCCAACTGGCTTTGTACCTAAGGCAGGACCAGAACTCCTGGTCTCTGGACTGGTGCCTTACTCACTACACCAAAGTGGCTCTCACTAGCTTTGCTTAGCATTTGGAATAAATAACTTTAAAATTTAACTTCTCTTTGGGCTCTATTTAAGAGTTGTTAACTAGCCCTACGGTAATCCAGCAAACATTGGGATCCGTGTTTGTGCAGGGATCAGTTTCAGTACTTTCATGCACTTAATGCTGCAGGACAGGAAAAAAAAATATTGGTTTGCTGATATAATTTTGACCCATTTTACCATGATGAACTTATATTGTGGGATAATCATATTTAAAAATAGCTTCTAAACCTGTATTTTGGGTAAACTGGACCGCTCACAACATTGTTACTTTGAATTAATTCAACTCTGAGGGAGCTGCTTTTAAATTATTTGCAGATTCTCAATTCTCAATAATTGCTTTCCAGTCTCCAACCTTCCCTTTCTGAGGAAGTTTGTTGAGATGGTAGCCAGTCTGCAGTTGATGCGAACCCTGGAGGAAGCATATTATCTAGACCCATTTCAGTCAGATTTCAGGCTGGCATTTAGCACTGAAAACACCTTTGGTCACACTTGTAGATGACCTGTGGTGAAACTGGGAGAGAAGTGGTGCTTCCATCCTTGTGCTCCTTGATCTCTCAACAGCTTTTGATACCGTGGACACTGTGTGGGCAGTGATCGGCATACCGAGGTTTCCCTGCTTTGTACTGGTTACCTGTGAGCTTCTATCAAAATTTATGATGAAGTTGGGTGGCCTATCAATCAATCAATTAAATTTGACAGAATATTTAATAAGGATTAGTTATAATCATCCTGTTTCTAGATATGTAATTCAGGAGTTGGAACATTAAGAAATATGGTTTGGTCTTGCCCTATCCTACTATTGTTATATAGGATTGTGAATCTGACTCTGGATCATTTCTGTTTATTAAGGATGTGCATATTATTCTTGGCTTTATCCCCTGTATTTGGAATGTATCAAAGTATCAAGAATTTGAGATTTTAGGGAGCATGGGGCTTAATTAAAGAAGTATGATATAACACTGGAAATGATCATTATTAGTAGTATTAGTAGTGCACCACCTGACTTCCTTAACACTGGGTGGTTCACAAACTAAACACACAGAAAAAAAATAGCAATAAAAAAATATAATAATAAAAAAAAGAAGCAAAAGATGGCAAAACTGTGCAACAACAAAAAACAGCTCAAAAGTCTGGGTGAAGAGCCAGGTCTTCAAGAGTGTCTGAAATAACAGTAGGGTGGGAGCTCTTGAGGGGGGAACCTCATTCCAGAGGGCAGGCACTATGACAGAGAAGGTGTGTCTAATGGTATGTGGGAATGACCTTGGGAGACAAGAGAGAGAGCCACAGACTGGACAACCAGTGTGTAAAAGATATCTCAGCCCACAAAAGGGGAGAGGGCATGGAAATGTTTCAGAGGGGACCCTCCCTAGTTTTCAAGAGAGTAAAAGGAAAGGAGGGGAGAAATACTTTCCATCTTGCAAGTTTCTGTTAGCTCTATCCTTACTGTAAAGTTACATTAATACTCCTGCTTGTACTTCTTGTCCGGACTACCTGACAGGGCTAACAGTGTGCTTCTGGGGTCCCAAAAGATGGCATTGTTTAATTGAAGGAATCCAAAATGTGCCAACCCTGTTGGATTGACTAAGTTGGGCTAATACTATAGGAGATAGGTGGTCCTTCAAGTAAGCAGGACTTATGTCATGTTAGGGCTTTATAGGTAATGACCACCACCTTGAATCATACCCAGAAGCAAACTGGCAACCAGGGTGCTTGCAAAGCAGGAGTATTATATGGGCCTCCAGAGGCACACCCATCAATGTCTGTGCTGCTGCACTGTGGACCAGTTGAAGCTTCCAGGTGGTCTTCAGTCCCATGTAGAGCATATTGGATTAGTTAAGGTGTGAGATGAACAGGGTGTGAGTGACTGTCTGAAGGGCCTCCCAAACTTGGAAGGGGTACAACTGGTGCATCAGGTGAAGCTGTGCAAAAGCTTTTCTGGCCACAATTGCCACCTGTTGATTGAGCAAGAGTTGTGAGTCCTAGTTGGCAGTTATACAAACATGCACAGTCATTCAATTTCAAGGCCAAGACCCCACTATATCACAGAATAGGTGGGAAGAAGAAACAATTCCTTTTTTATATCAAGGGTATAAAAAGTAATTCACACACTCTCACTAGCAGTGGAAAATCATCTCTTTTTTATAGTGTCATTCCTGTGTGCAATAGTGATTCTTATCTAGCTCAGCTGTGTCCGTGAATCTACTGCTAAATCAAGCTGAAAAGCTAAGCCATTATCAGGAGATTTGTGAATCACTGTTAAGTCTTGGTTGGGGAGTCAGACAAGAAAAAAATCTACACTTGATTTGCAGCAACGGATCACTGATATGTGTACATTATCAACATTTTAATTAAGGTATTTGTTTGCTTTGTCACAAAGGGACAAAAAGAAACCTTTTGAGCAGTATGCTCAAACTTTGTGGAGTTATTCTGCTTATATATAATTTCCACGTCAGTTTTTTAATTTTTTTTTAAATGTTATGCTTATTAATCTTTAATCTTGTTATTGTATTAATCTGTGAGAAGAAAATCAAATTCTTCCCCCCATGTCGGCCAGAAGTCAAAGCTTCCCATTTGTCTTACCCTACCATTGTTTATCTTAACAGCAATCAAGGCATATGACTAAATTATAAGAAGAATGGGCTTACCTCAAAAGATTAAGACTAACAGAAAGAATCAAGAGTCCTCCACCCTAGCCCAAAATTAAATAACTAAAGACCTGGCAGGAAGGGCCGTTTCCTTAAACCCAAAAAATCAAATCATAAAAAGATTTCTTCCCAAAGAGATCTACATTCCAATTAGACAATATCAGATAAGGCAAACAGAAAGAATCAAGAGTCCTCCACCCTAGCCCAAAATTAAATAACTAAAGACCTGGCAGGAAGGGCCGTTTCCTTAAACCCAAAAAATCAAATCATAAAAAGATTTCTTCCCAAAGAGATCTACATTCCAATTAGACAATATCAGATAAGGCAAACACAGGAAACCCCAGTTTAGTAGGGTGCCTGACCTTAGAATGCTCCCTAGTCAATTTCACTGGCTAGCGCTCTCTCCTGGAATCCCAGAATTACCTTTTCTCCTAGAGGGCTGGTTTCCCTCTGCACCTTTTAAGGGTCTTCCCTATAAAAGGGGATTCCTGGGAAGACCTGATGTGACCCCCCTGACAGCTGATCATCTTGTGTATCTGGCTCTCGAAAATAAAGTTTTCTCTCTCCTTCAAGCAACCGCCTGCCTGTTTATTTCCGGCTCGGAGACGAACCTCGTCAGTTTGCATTCTAACAAATCCTTTAAAAGTACAGTATGTATTTGTACTTTTTAATTAGTTTGCATAATAAAATATATACTTTTAAAAGTTGTAACATGATGCAACTAGATTGGATCTGGAAATCCTACATGGGCATTCTACTAATGGATTCTTCTGCCTAAATATGCGGGTTGGGTGGAATAGGGAAAGGATTATACTAAAATTAGAGAAGATTAGCATGGCCCCTGCACAAGGATAACATGCAAATTCATGAAGCGTTCCATATTTTTAATGGTTTTTATTGTATTTTAATTAATATTTATTCTTGATTTTATTGTAAACCACCCAGAGTCACTTGCTAGTGAGATGGGTGGTGACCAAATCTGAAATATAAACTAATAAATAAAAATTCATAACTGGGAGACATTATGAACTGTCTGATGGACCCAAGAATTTCCTGGGGAAATAAAAAGAAAATATTTCCCCAATATAACAGCCAAATTCTATGTCTTTTTTTTTTTTTTTTTTTACAGTCATTCTGAATTAAGGAGGAAAAAAGAAGGGATCAGATTGCAGCCAAAACACAGCTGGATCTATAAGCTGTAAATCAGATTGTTAACTTGCTACATAGAAATGAACACATGTGGATACACAC